CTTGTCTCTTATTGGTGATAGTCATAGCCTGGCATTTGTGTGGCGCGAATGTCACTCGCCACTTATCAGTCCAGGCCTGGATATTGTCTAGATCTTGTTGCTTTTGAACATGGACTGCTTCAGTATCTGTCACTCTAGTTCTAGATTTTCTCAAAAGCGGAAACATACTCTCCACACTTACTCTGCCAAGGCTGTCCAGGATTTTATATGTTTCAGTCAAGCCATCTCTTATTTTTCTAAATTCCAATGCATATTGGCTTAGCCGTTGCAACTTATGCTCTGAAGACAACCTGCCATACCAACTTCTAGGATCTGGGGCAAGTGCAGGAAATTGGGATTCGTACACCTTTAGTGGTAGTTATGTTGGTGCAGACTCGATGAGTCTTTTCTTTGCTGTATGAATCTATAAGTTTTCATCTGGTGAATCCTTTTTGAATTGCTTTCAATGCATTGACACCTTTCCTTAAACGGGGTGACCAATACTGTATGCAGTTACACAGGAGGAGATCTCACCAATTCCCTGTTAACTTAAGCACAACCTTCCTACTTTGTGTTCAGTTCCCCTATGATTCATGATCTATTATCTTTCCTAATTACTTGCTGTGCCTGCAGACTAATCTTTTATGATTCATGCACAACGACAGCCCAGATCTATTTGAGTCGCAGAGCTCTGCGATCTCTCACCATTTTGACAAAATGCTTCTTTTGACATTTAATCTCTATTGTCATGTGAGGGGAAAAGGTGAACGCCATATAAATCTCTCAAACAGCAACGAAATTGATCAGATGAACTGATTATGGCTTCAGTATGCCTAACACCACACTGCAGCAAGGTGCCTCTGAAACAGCACTGAACGCTTACCCTTAGGACTTCTGGGAGAAGGGACCCACTTCCAACTCAGCCAAGGTTGACACATTTAATAAGTTTGTGCCTTGCATAAATTTCCACCCTCACCTTCTCTCCTAAAAGCGACGGGATAGATGGGTGCTGGCAGTTCTCCTGCACCACATGCAAGTTTTAGTGTGAGCTTCCATGAGTTCTGGCAGACCCTTTGAGAGTGGAGACTATCCGGGCAAATTCAATCTCGGGATTACTGTACCCGCACTTCCCAGCAGGCATCACTTAGCAACAATGAGAGGAAAGCCTGGATGACGTTCCATTTGCGCGATCTTCCTTCTTCATATTGCACTGATGTTACTGTAGTACAGCATGTGCAGCCTACAGTAAGAGCACAGCACGCTTTTCAGTCCATATGGTTTACTATGGACAAACAAGTTTGTCAATAACGGTTTTAAGTCCAGAAATTATTCAAGTGGCTGTTTTTCTCATTTATAATTTCTGGCATTGTGACAGTTTTCAAAATGCATATTTTGAATAATGTATACAAGTTGTCTGAGATACAGAAAAATTTCCTGTACGACCGAATTCTAAGTCAAAATGTCTGCATAAGAGGATAAGATTTCCATTGGAACTTTTTTTTTTGCTGATAATTCATTTATTTAATCATTAAAACCTTTCCAAAGATCAGTCTGCCAGACTTGCACAGGCAAGAATCCAGGGAAGTGGAAGGAATATAGCAGACAGTGCGTGCCAAATTTCAAAAGTAAATAAATGGAGCTAAAGCAGTTAAAGCTAAGTATGGACGTAACTGTCCCGTTATGTTTCCAAAAGGACAGGACTAGGAATTTTCAGTCCCTTGACAATAATTAGCTGTGCATTATAGGTTATTGTGTTAACAATGCAGTAGGGTTTTTCCATAATCCCCTAATTATTATAGACACAAATCCCAGGGTGGGCTTGTAAGTAGATCAGAACTTCAGCAACAAAGTTTCCTCTTCCGCCTCAGTACACAGATATCACTTCACATCAGAGTGGAGCCACTACTTTGTCCCAAATTGTGTCGCTTATCTCTTTATTGTACACTGTGTCAATGTCGAAGTGAGCATGTTTTGATAAATGGTTTCTTTGAGATGGTTAAAATATACACATGAAGTGCTTAAGCAGATTTTTCACATTCTGTGGCTCTCTATAATAGATCGTAATGCCGAATGATTTTTGAGGGGTTTCAAACTTGTTTACTCTAGTCTATTGACATTCCAGAGTCTTGTGTTTAAAAAGGTGCTTCAGTTAGAATTACAGCTGTGACCATGGTGAACTGTAGCAGCAGCACTTTACTCTCGGTAACCCAGTTACAGCATATCCGAAATATTTTATCTCCTCATAATTTTAATATCTATATCTCCATATGCGCCCTCTGTTTGGAAAGTCCAGATTATTTTCATGTGGTGTTTTTACAGCTGATGTTAGAGTCTGACTGCCTTCAAGTCAATGTGGTACTGTATATCCATCGAGTTTCATTATCAAGCACTTTCCCAGCCATCATAGCTCATCATAGCTCAGTTGTCATTCCAGTGAGGACTGCTTTGTTGGCATTAGAAAAGTTAAAGAAAACAGTACTTAATGGCATCAATCACTGCCTTACAGATGTGTGTGAAGATCTGCTTTGTTTTGCATAGACGAGTTCTTAAAAGACGCCAAGCTGAGTCAAATTTCTGTTATCGGTGACTCAACAAGCGTATATACATTACAAATCTTAAACCACTTGAAGCAATTTGGGAAATAAACATTTTTAAAGTCTCTCTTTTTCGACCTCTTCTGTTTCTATCACATCTCCTCTCCATCTTCTCTTCTGGAATATCAGTCCCAGCTTCTCGAATCTATTCATTTGATTGAAGTTCCTCCAACCCGGAACATTCTGCTCCCTGCCTAAAATCTTTATGTCCCTTCCTAAGTCTGGTGTCCAGGACTAAGTGTAATACTCCAGCTGAGGCCAAACGCTATTTTATTATATAGAGAAAAAGTCGTACTAGACTCAAAACTTTAACCCTGTTTCTCTCTAGATCCTGCCAGACCTGCTGAGTTTCTCCAACACCCTGTGATTGTTTCTGTATTTGTACAGATTTATTGTTAACTTCCTTACTTTTGTGTTTTTGCTCCCATTTATAAAGCCCAGGATCCTGTGTGTGGAATTGTTGCAGAACAGAATGAGGACTTTCAGCCCATCATGTTTGTACCCACTCTCCAAATGAGCAATTCTAATGCCATTCCCGGGCCCTCACCGTATAACCCTAGTGACTGTTCCTTTTCAGATCACAATCCTTTTGCCTCTTGTTATAGGCCCAACTGACAGGTAATACTGGACAAGTCAGATCCCAGAGTGAAACCTGGTTTGATAAACCTTAAGTTTTATTTTTGCTTTTTGTTTCATAAGGTGATCAGTCACTGAGCATATTCAGAAATGGCTGCTGATGTGCCAACAAGAAAAGAATTTAAAAGTGTGGAACAAAAACAAAGTTGCTGGAAAAGCTCAGCAGGTCTGGCAGCATCTGTGGAGGAGAAAACAGAGTTAACATTTTGGGTCCGGTGACCCTCCCTCAGAAGTTTGAATGAAAGGATGAAAGGATGAAAAACATCCCTTCCTCAGTTGGAATTTAAAAGTGTATTGTGCACAAACTATGAAAGAGCTATTCGAAACAGCCTTATTATAAATGACTGAGATTCAAACCTTTTACTCCAACAATAACCTTACAGATTCTCAACCCTTAGTGAAGGGTCACCCCCTATTTCTACAGTAAAGCTCCTTGTTCAACTTTAATCAACTTCCTTTTGGCAAATTTCTGCACTTACGCAAAGCCATTTTCTTTAGTTAATGTCTCTTCATGAGACCTTTAGAGAAGCTACTAACTCAGCTCAATTATATAAATACATAACCCAGTACCTTTGCTTTTGCATTCTTTTCAGAACTGAACCCTTTAGTTTCCTGCTCCTCGGATGCTGTCTGACCTGCAGTGCTTTTCCAGCTTCACATCTCTTGACTCTGGCTTCCAGCATCTGCAGTCCTTACTGTCTCTGAATCACTTCATGCTTCTTTTCATTATATTTCATGTGGTGCCCGTTGTGCTATCCTGTCTGTCATTTTGAAGTTGCGCGTTATTCATCCTCAAAACTCACAATGCTTTCAATTTTTGTATCATCTGCAAGACGTGAAATTGTGTACTGTGCACTTGGCTCTGGGTCGTTCGTTTTGTACCAAAACCATCAAGGGTCCCAATACTGATCCCTAGGAATGCCACTGCAATACTTTCTCCAACCTGAAAAACATCCATTAACCCAGTCCCAGTTCCCTATCACTCAGATAATTTGGAATCCTTGTTGACACTGTCCTTTTCATTTTGTGACCAATAACTTTCACACTGTATCTGGTGTTTTTTAAAAAATTTCCATGATGTTGTGTAGCCCAACATTTATTGTCCAGACTGAAGGTGAACCACCCTTATTGGACTGCTACTGTCTTTGTGGTGTAGTATTGACATTCCCAGTGCTCTTTGAGAGGGAGTTCCTGGATACTGATTCAGCGAGTGAGTGAAGGAATGGTGGTATAATTCCATGACAGGAATGTAAATGTTTTGGACCGCCATTATGGCGGCGGTGCCCTTCACTTTCCCGGTGATAGATATTGCAGATTTAAGAGGTGATGTCAAAGGAGCTGTGAAGTGTTACTGCAGCGCATCTTGTAGATGGCGCATAATGCCACTATTAAAGGTGGGAGCAAATTACTGCAGAAGCTGGAATCTGGACTGAAAACAACAAATGCTGGAGATCACAGCAGGTCAGGCAGTATCCATGGGGAGAGAGAGCAAGCTAAAGTGTTTCAAGTCGAGATGAATCTTCATCTCTGTTCTCTGCATTGAGCTGCCAGTGAGCTTGTCTGCTGGTTCAACTGCTGGTGGCATCACTCAACTGTTGGCAACTTCCAACAGGGGAATTAGGTGAGAATCTGGAACAGGAACATTGGTCAGTTTGCCTTTCTCTAGCCCGGGAGCACTGACATTAATTACACTGACCAATCTGTTCACGGGGGTATTCAGTGGGTTTTATGCAGCAGTGACCAACTCACTCAGCAATCAGGGAATTCCATGATCTTTGGTCATCTGATGCCAATTGAGTGCTGTGTGGATTCAGTTAAAACACAAAACACAGGGCAGGCCAAGAAAAAGGAGAGAGAGGCACCATTTTACAAATGCAGACCCTGCCTTAGAACTGGCCCTTGACGTGAGCAGAGCTCTGTACTTGTTGGGCGAGAGGCAAGAGGTCAGAAATGTATGAGGGTGGGGAAAGAGAGAAAGGGTGATACTGGACTTGTAAGGGTGGGGGTGTGGAGAAAGGGAAATTAAGTGTGGGCTGGGACTTAGGAGTTTCTCCAATGATTGTGTGTGTGTGTGTGTGGAGCGGGTTGTTCTTTTTTAAAGCTGTTGGTGGCTGCTGTTAAGTGTGAATTCTGTACTAAACGAAACAGTGAGTGATCGACCTCTTTCTTTCTCTCTTCCCCTGTCTTTCAGATTCCGGAGCCGGACCTGATTTCGGGGGAGGGCAGTTTTAGGTGGAATACGGCGGGAGGGTTTGTGGATTACAGCTGTTCTTGCTGACACTGGCAGCGCACACAAACACACACAGAGACCAGCCGGACTGGGAGACTCCAGACTGGAGTTCTGCAACTTCACTTTATTTCCACCCACCTCCCCCAACTTCTCAGAGCGCACTGGCTGCCAATGAGAGGACTTAACTCTCCTCTAGACTTGATTTGAGAGAGAGACAAACACACACACACACACACACACACAGAGATGGGGTTCGAGTTGGATCGTTTTAACGAGGAGGTGGACCCTGACCTGAAGTGCAACCTGTGCAACAAGGTCCTGGAGGATCCCTTGACCACACCGTGCGGTCATGTCTTCTGTGCGGGTTGTGTGCTGCCCTGGGTCGTGCAGAAAGGCATGTGCCCCGTCCAGTGCCAGAGGATGTCCACCAAGGAACTGAACCACGTCCTGGCTCTGCGTAACCTCATCTCCAAGCTGGACATTAAGTGTGATTACCGGTCCCGGGGCTGCGGGAAGGTGGTGAGCTTACAGAAGCTGGCCGAGCATGTGGAGATGTGTGACTACAGCCCGGCTCGGTGCCGGCACCAGGGCTGCCAGGAGGTTCTCAGCCTGAAGGACATGGACTTCCACATGAGGGAGAGCTGCGAATGCCGCCCGGTGGGGATCTGCGAGCAAGGTTGCGGGCTGGTGTTGCTGCACCGGGATGTGACACCGTCCGGAGACACTCACTGCTGTGTGGCTGCTCTCCGCGCCCGGTCTGGATCGCTGCAGCGGCGGGCCGCCGGCTTGGCCCGGGAGCTCAAGAAGCAGGCGGTCCGGGCCGGCCACCGGGAGCAGGCGCTGCTCGCACAGGTCTCGGCGCTGCAGAGCGAGGTGCAGCTCACCGCGCTCCGCTACCAGAAGAAATTCAACCAGTACATGGCGCACATCAGCAGCATCAGCAAGAACATCGCCGCCTGCTGCAAGGTGAGCTGTCGGAGGGACATGGGACAGCGACTGAGGAGGGGGCACCTGGGTGAGGGCTAGGGGCAACCGGGGGGACATGGGACAGCGACTGAGGGGGCACCTGGGTGAGGGCTAGGGGCAACTGGGTGGACATGGGACAGCGACTGAGGAGGGGGCACCTGGGTGAGGGCTAGG